TAAGTAGCCTCTGCTGAGCCGTTGAAGTCATCTGTCAGTAGAGCCCGAGAGCCATTGCGGCGGGGACAGACAGACTGACGGTGACTGGTCTCACTGCACAAAAAACATCGAGGCCCACCACCGGCGCACGACCCCTCCATCCCAGCCGAAGCTGAGCCAATTCTGACCGCCGTGCTGGTCGATGCCCCAACCGTTGGAAAGCCGACCTTCCCAGTCGAGGTGCTGCGACTGCCCATGTTGCGATTTTAGGTTTTCCCAGCAGACGCCTCTCGTCCTCGAGGTGCTGCCACTAGGCGACTGCCCGGCCGCGAAGCTGTGTGCCGACAATCCCAACCCGATGGTCGTCTGGGACGTCCTTGTATTCCAAAACCGCCTCGACCGATGCAAGCCAATCCAGAAACTCTGCTGCGTCCAACCCACCCGAGAACTCATGGATCTCAACGCGAAACGCACTCTCCCAACGCCTTTCGCCGCGCGGGTCGTCGTCTGCACGTGGATCCGCTCGCCCAAACGGATTACCCTCCTACTCCGTAGCGTCCGAGTCGCCTCCCTTCTCCTCACACGGCGCATGCCGGCGGCCACCACAAAATCGCGCGTGACCGCGACCCCCATGGCCACCACGCTGCCCACCGCGACCGCCGTCCCAATCGTCGGGCCCGTCATGGTTCGCCTGCTCGCGTCGCATCAAAGTTTGGAGGGCCTCGCGAATATCCCTCCATACGCGCCGCTAAGTCTGACATATCACGGCCCATCGACTGGAATTGCCGCCCGAAACCCTCGCCTTGCCGCGTGAGGGCTTCAATCGCCGCATCTCGTTTGTCGTCAGCCGTATCGTTCCTTTTGGGCGGCATCGTGGATCGTAGCTAACCCTGGATACCGACTGATGTAGCGCAGCGTAAACGAAAAGGGAACAAGAGATAAATTTCAAGATACGATAAAATTATTCATAAACATTCAATGTCTTCAAATGAAAGAGACGATATAAATAAAGTCCCAACTAGTCCTAATTCTTATCTTGCTAATCAAGTAAATAATAATACCTAGGAAAAGAGAATAAAACATAATAATAAAATATCTAGGAAATAAATAACTAAACTAAAGATGGTAAACGATCATATTTTTCCATATATGCCATCGCGATCTCGTCTCCATCAGTTATTATTGGCAAAAAAAATTCTTAATTACTATGCAACTTCTCAAAACGACACTAATTAAAAATAGGAGGGAGTATATAATAAGAATAATCATTTACTA